TTCATGCAGTTAACCCAATTCAAGTTTTGTGCAAAAACGCATGATCACTCCGGCTCGCCTGGTGCGCTCCAGCCTAGGTTTGCATGAAACCCGGTTGTTTTTTTCGGTAAATGCTCGCTTTGTGAAAAAATGCAATTTAGCTGTTTACTAAAAAATGGGAATGTTGCTGGGGCGGTTGTTCGTCACAAAATCCAAGTATGCAAATGAACTGAATGTTCATTTACATATTTGGATGAGGGCGCTGCAGACGCACTCGTTTCTGGTTTTTCTGTAAAGTTGAGTATTTCTCATGTCCACCTGCAGGGAATTTCACCTCCAAGCAGAATTAAGACTGCAGTTGAAAGTAGAATGTCCCAGCAAATTTTCAGCCCCGCACTTTATCCGGTGAGCAAGATAGTCATTTTGATACAAATACCTTTGAAGTGCCCTGAGTCGTGGCACAAGTGCAAACCGGTACTCAGTTTATTTTTATACGGTTTCCCATATGGACGGTAAACATGCTGACGAGATTTCAGTCACTGTTTTCCGGAAAGTTTTTAAGTTAGCACAAAAGCTGCAAACTTTGATGTGATTGTACGCGCTACACTGCGCGACAGCTGAATTTGAAATCTTTAGCTCGCAAATGTACAGAGAATATCCCTGTAAGGTTCAGCTTTGTACCTTACCTGTTTGACGGAATTGTTTCCGCCAAAGGAATTTGCATATTTTTTTCGAGGGCCCGTACGCGAAGTCTAGGCACAAATGAGCGAAAATTTTAAAACGGGAGGATGATATACGGAGTGGGAGCACATACCCAAAATTTCAGCCTCCCAGCTTTCCTGGTTGCTAAGATGAAACTGGGTGACAAAATTCACTCGCTTTCGAACACACACACACACGGATGACCTCTGACAATATGCGTTTTTGTTGGCTGTAGCTGCGCTATAGCGTTGCACAGCAAAAATTCATCAAAATTAATGACGAATTAAATATGACTTCAATGATCTAGAGTTAGCAAAAAATGCGTCAAAAATTAAGTGTTAGTTGCAAATTTGCACGGAAGAAAACGTACATGTATTTTGTTTTTGCTTCTTTTTTGCAGACTGAATAATTAGATAGCTGATTGCATTCAGGATGATCACGAGCATAGTGATAGCAATGTAAATATAGTTTCTGATGACTCTGAACCGTATCGTATATGACATAGGAGGATTGCAAGGCTCAATCAGCTGAAACTCAATTAAGCTCCCTGCTTGCGTAGTTGCTTTCCTTGCCAGTGCTTTGTTAAAGCAGCTCCGATAACTAACAAGATACCAAGAAAAAATATCTGATTTTATAAAATTAACAGTTCATCACCTTATCATCGGCTACGACGAAATTGATGGTGGCAATTGGTAACGCGTAAGCAAGCCCAACAGTAATTGTTACAAGAATGAAATGTTTAGTTCTGATAGTACGATAACTGAAATTATTAGTAAACAAAGGCTGGAACGCACCAGGCGAGCCGGTGCGATCATGCGTTTTTGCATCAAAA